AGAGAGAGAGAGAGATCATCTTTCGAATACTTTAGTTCAGTGCTTGTCAACATTATGTCTTATATCAGCCAGCCTCCACTTTTTCCACCTGGCGCTTAATTTTTTTGTACCGCCCACTTACATGAGGATGCATTTTCAATCGGGAAAAAATACAATCAAACAAATATTAAAACAAACAACACAAAAAAACCAACAACACCTGTCATACATCTGTGTTCACTAATGCCGAACAAAATGGGCAAATCGCTTTAATACTTTGCAGTCACACAGCCAGCAGTACAAAATACCCCATCTGGTCACCCAGCCAGGAGAGTCACTGACTGGAACGGAACGTATAATTTTCACTGGCGCATTATTGCGCGTCAAGTGACCGCAAAGTGTTAAAAGTTGTGTAGGTTGGCAGGCACTGCTCTATATTGTCTATCTAAGAGTCTGGCTGTGTCTTCATCAAACGATCCCTTAATTGTATTTATTGTTTGTTACTCTGTTGTAACACCTCTAAGCTTCTGGCGTTCATATGACCTTAGGCAGTTGCGAGCGCCATAAAACATCTGCTAAAAATAAACGATCCCCTTATTGTATGTCTCTGCCTGTCTTGCAACTTACCATGGGAAATTAATGATTCGTCGTGAAACGCTCCTTCTTTTTTACACTTTAAAACAAAAATGTAGTTACTGTGGTTTTTACATTTCCATCGACACAAATTAGGCCATTGAGGAGGTGGGCTTCGACCATGCCTGTCAGGGCCAACCCGGACTGAGAGGTACACACAATCCCAGCAGAAAGACGACAGTGCTCATATGACCTTATGCAGTTGCGAGCACAGCTTAAAACTCTTACTAAAACAAAAGCAGACAGACCGAGATACCCGATAGAAATTTTCCCCACACGGGAATCGAACTCGCGTCTTCTTCCTGTCGTGACGGAAGCATGCCAGTTTATCACAGATTTCGACTGTGCCTGCATGATGGAAAATATCACTGACACTCTCAAAAAGAGTAGATCTAAATGAATGATTGATAGTATGAATTGAATTTTATTTTTTAATTGTTTTCAACGAAAGAACATTCATTATTAAAATCTTACAGAGTAATTTGCTTTGATTTGCATACAAAAAGGAAGAAATATTGAACAACACAAGCTGAATTGACATTTTAGAGGGACTATCTCTATACCACTAATTTGAAGGTGGAGAATATAAAAATTAAAGTTAAAACTACATTGTTAAAGTGTTGCATTATGACTGTCATTAATACTCAAATACTTAAATGAAATTGTGACAAACAGGACCTGTGACAAACTGGGCAGCCCCCATCGTGACAAAGCGCCTAACTGCTACACAACACCACAGATGCCGGTCTTTCATCTCTTTCAGTTCATAAAATAAGCAATTTGCATTTATTGTCACCAGCAGCCTGCTGTATCATTATCGCATTATCCCTTGTGAGCATCGTACAGTGTTCACAAGGAATTTATGATCAAGACAATGACAATGTGCGTGCAACGCTACGGTATTACCCAGCTGTCACACACAGTCGTGAGTGTGTCCAAATTACACACTGCTACACCTGACGCGAGTGTGTCCAAATTACACACAGCTACACACTACACAGTCGTGAGTGTGTCACCTCTACGTAGTCGTGAACAGTACACACTGCCACACCTGACGCGCGTGTGTGTCAAAATTACACACAGCTACACAGTCGTGAGTGTGTCTGTCAACTCTACATGCAGTCATAAGTGTGTACAAATTACACACATTTACAGCCGCGAGTGTGTCAGCTCTGCGGGCAGTCGTGAGTGTGTCCAAATTACACACAGCTACACATTCGCAAGAGTGTTAAAACTACACGTAGACCTGACCTGGAGGTTTCATCTCTGACTCCGGGGTTGACGTGTAATGGCCATCCATCCTTTCACACACGGAAGCAGATAGATAGATAGATAGATAGATAGATAGATAGATAGATAGATAGATAGATAGATAGATAGAGAGAGAGAGAGAGAGGTAGAGAGATAGAGAGAGAGAGAGATAGGCAGGCAGACATATCAATGGAGAGACAGCAGACAGACAAACAGTTCCTTATAGATAGATTTAAAAAATCAAGCCAGCCATCCACTCAGACAGAAAGATAGATAGATAGAAAGACAGATATATAGATAGAAAGACAGAAAGAAAGACAGACAGACAGACAGACAGACAGACACAGATAGTCGTGAGTGTGCTAGCATTTACACACAATTGAGAGTAAACCAGCACTACACACAACCCCGCTCTATCAACCCATGAGTCAGAGATGCAGACTACATAGACACATAGATATTATATACACAGGCACGCGCAGAATTAGCATCAGATGAATATTTCTAACGGTTGTTACACTCTAGATGTGGCTTTTGTTCAGAGCACAGATGTTATATTCAGGGGAAACACAATGCTGTGATGATAGAGTGATCACTGAGACGTTTTATGTTTTCGTTTTAATACTTCAGTGACACACATACCCTACCCACTCC